CTAAAAGCAGTTTCGCTAGCAGAAGAAATGAAAATTGAACATTTCCAAGGAGGTCCGTCTTGGTGCTTTCGTTTCATGAAACGGTGCCATTTTTCCATCCGGACCAGGACTACGGTAACGCAGCAACTTCCAGCGGATTATAATGAAAAGCTGGCCATCTTCCGCTCCTACTGCAGCAAATACATCGCCGCCAAACACATCCAGCCCAGCCACATCACAAACATGGACGAGGTGCCGCTCACTTTCGACGGTGAGTCACACTGTGGAGAAGCAGGGGACCAGCACGGTAGCGATACGCACAATGGTCTTCTTTTACTGTTGTGCTTGGCTGCCATGCTAATGGACAGAAACTGCCGCCTATGGTGATTTTTAAGAGAAAGACTTTGCCTAAAGAGAAGTTTCCAGCAAGAATCATCATTAAGGCAAATGAAAAGGGCTGGATGGATGAGGAAATGATGAAAGAGTGGCTGAGGGAGGTGTATGTAAGGAGACCAGGTGGTCTTTTCCACACATCACCATCGCTGTTGATCAATGACTCTATGCATCTCACAGCCGATGTGAAAAAACAAGTGAAGCAAATGAACTGTGAGCTTGCTGTTATTCAGGAGGCCTGACCAAGGAACTCCAACCGCTGGACATCGGTGTGAACCGGCCGTTCAAAGTAAGGCTGCCAGCGGCGTGGGAGTGATGGATGACCGATGGAGACCACCGTTTCACTAAGAGTGGAAGGCAGCGCCGGGCGAGTTACGCCACAATTTGCGAATGGATTGTCGATGCTTGGGCTAACATGTCTGCTGGCACTGGAGCAGCCAGTAATCGAAACGCTAACCTTCCAATTACTGGATGACCTGATCTACATTGAACTGACAGATCTGGTCAAAGCCAACCTTTTAAAACTCTCTTTGGTTCTGCAGCAAACTCACGTCGGCACAGGGACAACTAGTAATATGCATACAGAAAGTTTACGCAAACCTTGATAAGCATTTCTAGTTCCATTCTCAGGCTCATCACTTCCAGAGTTACCGCAGCAACTCTGCCCACATCAGGATCTGTAACATCATCAGGGAAACTGAGTCCATCTGGCTGCTGATTAGAGTAACCATAGAGACAGAGTACAGCGCGTCCTCCCTGGGAATATAACAGACAGGGTAGAAGGTAATGAAATGTTAGCGGTTAGTACCAGCAGCGGTAACTGGAACATTTCTTTCACTTCCTACTAGTCTGCATCAGTAGGACCGGGCATTTTCACACAGAGCTATGATCACATCAATCACAAACATTAAAACAAGAGAAAGAGGAGTCCACAACTAATTAGTCTCAACCGGGCAAACATCACACAATTATAATAGAAACATAAATTATTTTGAACACTATGACACACACAGCTGAACAGCGTGCTGAGTGATTACAGCTAGCATAGCAGTCTGTTGGCACGGGAACTGTCACTACATTGAAGAAGAGTAAGGACAGATGGAGGGTGAAGGAAAGAGATGCTGCCATTAATCTGTGATTGGGGAAGGAACTGCGCCTGCTGACGAGGTTTTGTACCTTAAAAAAATGCTTGTTTTGCCATCATCTTTGGTGGTGGTGGACTTTCAGTGTGGGTGGGTCCAACCACCTCCTCCACACACACCAACAAGAAACTAGGAGAGGTAAAGGCTGGCTTTTGATGTCTTAGCAGGAAAAATGTGCGCCTGCAGCCCTCAGAAGCTCATTACTCTCATCTCCTTGGTCATTGTTGAAATTGCTTCCTTGTGTTTGTGTTTATTTGCTGATCTGTGGAGATTTTCTCTTAACTCTTCGTTCTCCTTTTGGAGTAACTCATATGTCTCATACTCGCTTATTTGACCCTCCGAGAGTGTGTGCTCTACTTTGGCAAGTTTCTTGTTGCATCCATTCAAGTTTCCTGTCATCGAGTGAAGCTAAAGCTTTGTCGGTCACATAATAATCAACATTTTATGTTGTTTTGCCTCTTTGCCACTTTCCCACTTCATTGTTTGCATCTAATTCTCACATGCTCCCTGGACTACTCCACCGATCTGTCAGCTTTTCACCACAGCCAATTTTCACTCCTCTTTTCAGTAAAACTTGACCTCTGACCTTTCAACCTGGCAACTGAGGCCATTGTAATTCAACCTTGTTGTTGATGGTATTGATTTGAAACTAATTCACAAACTCGGGAAACCACACCGTTCGCCACCCCGTCAGCCTTTTACATGTGAGGGGTAAAAATGTCTGTATCTGTCTCACACAGCAGCCTGACAGCCAATGAGCTCTTTGTATTCTTTCCGTTTATTCCTTTCCTTTTTTTTTTGCCTGTCCCGTTTGCTTTCTTAGCCGTCAGAATTAATGTCTGAAAGCCAACAAAGATACCCAACGGATTTACTTTGCAAAGTGGATCAGCACAGCCTTGCCGTTTGGGTGCATTCGATCAGCCTTTGTTGTTATTATTTCTTTTATTTTCAGTTATTACAGACGGGATAGGAAAGGGAGAAAGAAAGATGAAGGAACAGAAAAAGAGAGGGGAAGAGGGACAGGGAGTGATAATACTTTATCATTACCTGGATAGCATCAACTGTGGCCCTGAACACTGGGTTGTTGTGTTTTACAGTCCTCCAGTACTTTGGCCTGTTGGGATTTGTCAGATTACAGCCATACTTTTCGAGGATGTTAAGCGCTGTAGATAAGCGCTGAAGAGATCCAAGAGTCTGCAAAGGAAGCAGACACATTTTAGCATCAATTTTAATCTGAAACGTGGCCTGTATTTGTACAGCGCTTTACTCGTCCCCAAAGTGCTTTACACATCCAGTCATAAGAATACAGTTAAGCTGAACCCACACTGTTTCGGTTGTAGTGGTGTGACATACTACAACACTGAACACATTCAAACATCTATCTTCCTGTCGACCCTTACATCACATTTGTAACTGCCTGTGTGTGGGGGGCGGTGTACCCGCCACAGTCACATTTATACTCACGTAGGAAGCCGTTGCAGTACTCAGCGTCACCACTACTGAGCGTCGTCACTCGGACAGTTTTGCTACATAAGTGCTATAGGAGTAGTAGAAGTCAAAACCAGAAGCCTTTGTCGAGTGTTCAGAGTGTTCAGGTCATAAACTCAGCTGTCTGTATGTCTCTCAGCTCCTGAGCTGGAGCATCATTAAACCAACAGGATCACACAATCATAGACAATCTCAGGACACCTTTGACACGTTCATTTTTGGGACTCTGGCCTTGTGAAGAAGTAAACCTGATGATTTAGTATAAACCTCTTTGAAAGCAATCATTTGAAGTGCATGCCTTTATCAGGCTCTCACAGCATGTCGGGGGAACTCTGGCCCCCTCAACCTTCGCTGAGGTTTTCAAAACTTTTATTAAGCTCCCACCACAGCATATCAATCAGGCTGAGGCCTGGGCCATTGCAACATCTTGATTACATTCTTTTTCATTCATTGCGTTGTCTACCTGCTATTCTTTGGATCAAGTCACGATCCAAACAACAGAGTGTGAGATGTAGCCAAATCCTGAAAATCTTGGTCTCAGTCTGGATTGAGGTTAGACATATTTCCAGATGGGACTAATAAACATGCAGTTGATCTTTCTCACCTCCTTCCTGTTTCTGCCAAAGCTGTTCTCTATGACCATCGTTTCTGCAGCAATGTGGTGGTATTTAGAGCAGGGTGGTAAGGGCAGATTAGCCATGGCCACTACCCCAGCCCGCAGATCCACCACTCTGCCCCCAGAATACAGACACACTTCAGCCTGACTCCGCACATCCTGCAGCTGCTCAGAGAGGGACGCCATTCTGCACACACACACACGGTTGATGCATGCCGTTTAGTTAAAACAACAACAAATAAATCTGACGACATGCATGCACAGTATCTCAGATCAGCGTATTCAACATGAAATATGAATTCCTTTGGTCCCATATTACTGCACAAATTGGCACTTTTGTTTCGTTTAAAGTGAACTTTTTTTGGAGTGCTCTCTTCTCTGGAAGTTGGCACAAATGACTGTAACTGAAATGCTGTTGTGCTGCCATGCCCACATCAGATTACGTAATTTTCTCGAGTGTTCCTAAAAAGTCCTTTTTCGATTTAGTCGTTTAGATAATGCAGTAAAAACTCTTTATTCCAAGTAAGTTACATTTGTCATTGAAATGTGAATTCAAACATTCTGCTGTGCTGTTGCTGTTCCTACCATCTCTGACTTCTTTATATTTGACTTCTAAAGAGACAGACTTGCTCAGCAACAGTTCTTCAGGCCTTTTTCAGAGTTTGACTTTGACATTGGCCTTTTTCAGTCATGGCAGTCCAACCTTGTACCTGACCATTTTCACTTTTGTATTATTTAAAGCCTCTGAACTGGAAGAGTGGCTGTCAAGACACCATTCTTGAGAAAGAGAATTTATTTTTACACAAAAACTGGAATGATGAATCCAAATGTCAAATGTTTGGTTCACATCTGGAGTATACAAATACACCAGTGAGTGCCTAAGAGCCAAGTGTAAAACACGGTGGAGGCTTCGTCATGGTTTGGCGCTGCATTTTAGCCAGTTGTGCTGGAGATCTGGTCTAAATGTGTGATGGAATGATGAATGCAGGAAACGTACTGTCCACTTTTAATCTGCCCTCTTGAAAGGTTCTTACTGGGAACAGCTTTCATAGCATGCATGGACTGAAAAACCCCACACAGTGGAAACGATGTGGGATCATCTCGACAGAGAACAGAACAAAAGGCAGACACATCTGTTAATATGGTTTAAGAAGCCTAGAAACTTCTATGAGCCGCTAATATGGTTCAAACTGTACAAACTCACGTTTTGCTTTATATGCTGCATTATGTGTTGGCACATGTTTCAGTAAATCACTGTATCCACATTTTCCCAATTAAATATAAAGAAATTGGGAGTTTTACACAGTCCTGATGATAAAAGTATATTTCACATGATGTTATCAGACTCCAGGTGCTAACACGTATTTGACCACAACACAGACCGGTGACTGTCTGCAGGTGTTCCCTGCATCCCTGAGCTCCGGCTCCATCCGTGAGATGAGCTGGAACAAGTCGCTGAACATGCAAAGCTGCTAAATCTGTTTTCACGTGCAGTACAATTGAGTGCGCTTTGCTCGAAGAGCTTTTTGTCTGATTGCAGACCTCCTGGTTACAAAACAAAGACGCAGAAGGACGATGCGCTATTTCCAGTACTCAGTGCAAAGCAGCAGGTGCGCCTATGATCAGCTCATAGCGGCACAATGTCCTGTAAACGATTCATTATTAATGATTAAAGCAGCAAAGCTGTTATTAGCGAGGATCGGCACGGTGAGCCCGCCTCCTACCTGTGCCGCTGTCCGGCTGCACTGCGGTGGAATCACTGTTACGGCACAAATGTCTGTTTGTACCGCCGAAGGAAGCCCCGCAGAAACGACAAAACACTCCCGCAACAGCGCGGTGTGCAACTGCTGTACTGGAGACACAGCGGCAGGGCCTCCCTCTCTCCCCCTCCCTCATCGGGCAAAACGTGGAAGCGGCGCAGATTACGTCACCAGTGGACCCTCTGCGGCGCAAACGCAGCAGCGCCAGCTGCTTTCACATTCACGTTAAGGATGCTGCACCTGATGTCTCCAGGTTATTGCATTATTGCACAAGGAAATGTTAAGTGACCATCCTGTCAGGCACAGTCAAATGTGTTTGTTGCAGCAGGCTGTAAACATGCACAGTGTTTTCATGAAGGCCAAACATGTAGCATTAAATATTCAGTCCTGTTGATGGATGGTCAGTGTTCCGTTTATTTACTTTTTTCTCTGAGTAGTTGGTCTTTCTCTTTCACACTGGCCACTTCCTAAAGAGCAGAAGGAAGGTGCATCTGTCTCTTCAACTCCTCCCAGTTGGATGCACGTGGAGTACTTCCTCAGGGAGGTATCAGGTGGCATTTAGGTGCTCCAACACCTCAGCTGGCTCCTTTCAACAGGAAAATGCAGTGGATCTATTTTAAACTTTCCGTTTTCCCCAAATGACAGCACCATCATTCCAGTGCCCTGTCTCCAACAGCTCCTTCTGTTTGCTCTGATGCTGCATGGGCCTCAAACAGAGAGCTTCAGGCTCCTTCTTGTTTTTTGTCCAACATGGAAAAAGAGTCATGATGCATTTTTCAGGCCTCTTGGTAAAGTGTCCCACATATTCACTATCTAAGTATCAAAAGTCTGTTAAAGCTGCCAAATCTGCCTTTTTGTCTAGCATTATTATGACTAATAGCCACAACCCCCGAGCACTTTTTAATACTTTTAACTCTGTGATAAACCCTCGCACTACCACTTATAGGGATGCTTCCCCTGCTCTTTGTGATAAATTCTTAAAGTATTACTCTGATAAAATCTCAGCTCTAAGGGCTTCTCATCCATCTCATCCATCATCAGTTTTAGACCCAGTTCCAGCTTCTGAATGCTTGACTGTCCTTCAACAGTTTGAGCCAGTGTCTTATTCTGCTTTAAAACATATAATTGATCATCTCAAAATCTCTGGTTCCCCGCACGATATTCTTCCTTCTCGTTTCTTTAAGGAAGCTTTACATGTTATTGATCCTTGTATCTTATCTCTGCTGAATGCATCATTGTCATCAGATTGTGTACCGTCTGTCTTTAAGCATGCTGTTGTGCAACCTATTATGAAAAAGAAAAATCTTGACCTAATTGGTCTCACCAACTACAGGCCGATCTCCAAACTCCCTTTTATTTCCAAAATATTGGAAAAGGTAGTTCTAAACCAACTTCAGGCCTTTTTAGATGCAAATGGTATCAATGACAAGTTTCAGTCTGGTTTGAAACCTCGCCCCAGCACAGAGACGGCCTTACTTAGAGTTTTTAATGATCGTCTTTTAACTGTTGACTCTGGATATTCTGTGGTCGTAGTTTTACTTGACTTGTCTGCTGCTTTTGACACGGTTAACCACAACATTCTTCTATCAAGATTGGAACATGTTGTTGGTCTCAAAGGTTTTTATCTTGGTTTAAATCCTGCCTCTCAGAGAGGTCGTTCTCTGTTGCTGTGGGGCAACACTCCTCGGCTTCTGCCCCTATTTACTGTGGTGTGCCTCAAGGGTCCGTGCTCGGTCCTGCTCTTTGTACATGTTGCCCTTGGGATAAAGTTTTAGAAAATACAACATCTCCTTTCACTGTTATGCTGATGATATCCAGATTTATTCACCTTTGAAATCCGATGTGACTGCTTCTTTGCAACCTCTGTTCAACTGTTTGCATGAAGTTAAAATTTGGTTATCACATAATTTTCTTACATTGAACGAGAATAAGACCGAAATCATAGTCTTTGGTAGTCACACTCCGCTAGACCAGTTAGCTGATGCCCTAGGCCCTCTCGCTAGCCATCTCTCGCCCACTGTAAAAAACCTCGGAGTGTTCCTGGAGGGCTCTTTTAAACTCGAGAAACAGGTCTCCACTATGGTAAAAAACAGCTTTTACCAGTTGCGTCAGATATCCAAAGCAAAGCCGTTCCTTCCTTTAAAGGACCTTGAAAAGCTTGTCCACGCATTTATTACATCCAGATTGGACTACTGTAACTACTGTAACTCCCTCTACTCGGGCCTCCAACACTCCTCTCTTTGCCGGCTCCAGTTAATTCAAAATGCAGCTGCGCGTCTTTTAACAGGTACAAGAATTCATGAACACATAACTCCAATTTTAGCCAAATTACATTGGCTCCCTGTTAAATATCGTATAGATTTTAAAATTCTTTTGTTCAATTTTAATATTTTGAATAATTTAGCGCCCAGCTATCGTTCTGATTTACTCCACGTGCTCGTCCAACCACAGGCTCCTAGCACAACCTAGGACTCGAATGAAGTCGAGAGGTGACCGGGCCTTTGCATCCGTGGTACCCAGACTCTGGAATAACCTCCCCGTTCATATTCGCACTGCTGAGTCGATCCAGTCTTTTAAATCACGTCTTAAAACTTATTTTTTTACTTTGGCTTTTGATTCTGTCTAGTTGGCTGTTTTAGCTTGTTGCGTTGTTACCTATTGTTTGTTGTCCTCTTTTATTGTTTGTTTAACCGTCTCATGTTTTTATTGACTGTGAAGCACTATGGTCAACACTGTTGTTTTAATATGTGCTATATAAATAAATTTTGATTTGATTTGATATTATTCCACGCTTTTTTGTCTTAATTATGATCATTATCTCATATAATTATTGAAACATTCATTTTAGTTTAGTAGTATTTAATAAATTATAAATACCATCAATTTTACATGTAATGAAAGTACAGGATATATGAACGCTGACCTTTGTTTGTTTGTTGTCTTTGAATATTGAATTACTTGTTGTTATGTAATGAAAACAATCACATTAGTGGGAGTGGAAGGCTGGCCTGTTTCTGCCAAACAATAAAAACTCAAAGATTAGAAACTTGAGGACATTATTTCATCGTTTCAGAAAGACTCAGCCAACACATGAAAACTGTAGGAGTTAGAATTACTGTGATGCTGCAGAAACATTTAATTAATCTAAAAGTAAAGTACTATGTTTGAGCAATAAAGTTGAAGTGTTTTGATTTGCAGAATTTGTAGTGGTTATATTAGCAAAACTACCTGATGTGGCACAAATACAGACACAAAAATACACACAACAAGATGAGGTCACATGAACACATTTATTTGTCTTGCATTTTGATAACTGAATCAAAACTCTTTATCATTTACTATCATTACACTGAGCTATATATAATAACTCATACTAATCATTGCACAGGCTACAATTCAATAAAGTATATGAGGATGGACGAGTGGGGCATTAAAGAAGTGGAGCTGGCAGGACAGATCGAGAAGCTTTACAGTTGTATGTTTACTGTACACAATCTGAATGAACAAATATAAATAACAATTCTCCGACAAATGAGTGGAGATGAGGTTGTGAAAGCCATAACACTGTTCTCATGCTTCCCGACCTGCAGCAGCGACAAACCAACGTTTGTTAGAACCGGTGCTCTTTTTAAACTTCTCTGAGTTTGTCTTGATCTACGTTAGGCTGGATATATACTTGAGAAGAATTAACATTTAGTTAATGTTGTGCAATTTATCATAACATAAATCTAGCTGAGTCCAGTTGCACGACATAAAAAGCCGTGTTTTTAGACGTTATGTCCGTTTGGCTGTCAGTAATCTGCTGCTGCACTCGAGTCACACACTGAACGTGCTGCTTTCAGCTGATGAAATCAAATGACAGTGTGGCACTGTGAGGTTGGAACGATGAGCTATGGGGTGCGATAATGTTGATGAGATAATAATACAAAGTTGTAAAGGTACGCAAATCCAGAAAATGTGAGGATTTTCATTTAACTACATCTACTGCACAAGGACAAAGAGAGAGCACGAGAAAAGAAGACAAAGAAAAAGTCGGGCCACATCTAACAGTTTTTTTCACCTTCTCATAAATGATCTATTTATGAAAAGGCACATATTTTTAAAAACTTCATGTACTGAGATGTTAAGAACAACACACAGCTCAAAGTTTTAACCAACAACAAAAATGTGAAACAACTGATAAGCTCATCAGGGAACACAGATAAGACAGTACCATTCCCCTGTTAGCATGTGACCTAATCACCACCTGCTCACTCTGCTCTATTCACACAGTTAAATGTGCATTTGAATCTGTCAGGTTCATTCACATGAATGCAAATCTGATCTTTAAAAACACAAACAAAAGAAAAATGTCAAAGGTTCCCAAAGATAATGCTTAAAGTGACGTCAGGTCTTTTTACTCAAGTGACTCCCTGCAAAGGGAACTATTGTTCTACCTTTATAATACAGTCAGCACCTAAAGGTCACACAGACACACTCCCTCTATTTATCTCTCTGCACTCATCATATTACAATTATTCTTGGTTTAAAGCGATGTGTCTTTGCAATAACTGAAGTCCAGATGCTTGAGCCTGCACCTCCTCTCACTAAGAAGACCTCGTTTGTCTCTTTCCACACGGTCTTACTCTGGCAGCTGTTGTATAACTCGTGATACGACGAGTACAGCTGCTGAATTCTGCTAGCATGCTGACATCGATGCAAGAGATTTTCAGAAGTGTGGTCAAAATAGCATGCTAGCTTGCATGCTGCAAAATGTGACCTGTTGCAGAAAGATATCTAGTTATCTCTGACATGCTGTTCCATGTATTGGAACATACTTTTTTGTGTCATATTTATTATACGCTTAAAGCATGGAAGACAAATGGTTAATAGCCACAGTATTTTCTATCAGACAAGCCATTTGAGTCGTCTCACTGTAAACCAACAGCTTCCAGTTTCTAAATTCTTACTTTAAGTCACATTTTGGCCGTTTTTACTCCGGCTTGCTGTTACTGTCTCAGTGAACATTTTTAACAGCGTGGCCAAAAACAGCCTGTTGCTGTACGGCACTCAAATCAGACACATTCTTTGAAACATGCTAAGACTAGCTAAGTAAACAAGGGCAATTGAATATGACTCCTGATGGCTGACTGGTTGGCCTTTTTATTTTTTTATGAAAGTCTCCATGTTACCAGATCTCATTCTTAGCTTGGTGAGTACACTAGCAAGATTAAAACGATTAGATAGGGCTGATGTTATGATAAGACACTAGTCTCACAGAGACAAAAATAAAGAAAGAAGACAATGGTTGCTTTTCATGAACTCTACTTCCACAACTCATTTTCCTGAATACACTATGCGCCTGGCCACTGTGTTGATGAAGAATCCAAAAACAAAGTCCGATCTGAGGTTCGTCAAACCTTTATCACGCACACAGTATGTGTGGGAACTGGGAATTAAAGCAGTGTATGATGAACCACAAGTGAGTAATCATGGACACTGTGTGAGGTTTCCTTTCTGTCTTTCTGTCTCAAATCGTGTGTCTCATTATGGGTTTGTATTGTTTTTGACTAATGTTCGTTGTTAGGATATTTCATGCTGGACATTGGTGGAAGCCCTGGGACAGACTGGTGGCCTGTCCAGGGTATACCCGACCTCTCACCCGCGACAAGGGACAAGCAGTAGAACATGGATGGATGGAAATTTGTGCAAACAGTGAATATAGTAGAGATTGTATCTCCATTTCACATATTTAGGAACAAGAAAAATGAAAAGAAAAATACAACAAAAAGTAACCAAGAACAAAAACAACAACATAAAACTGAAATATATAGAAATACTTAAAGTTAGAGCATAGATCACAGTGCTCAACAGCAGATACATATGTTCTTTTGGACAATGCAGTACTATGTGGGACTTTTGTCTTGTATCATGTGCTTGTGGTTGTCCCGTTACAAGAATGTAATAATGAGTAAGGAAGATCTTCAACACAGAATAATGACTGATCATTGATTTTTCTTGCAAGTCTTGCAAAAGATAGATTTTTAAAATTTGTAAATATAAAAAATATAATTTCCTTTCACGGTCTGTCTTTCCTTGGTATAACTGTCCATTCAAATCCGGCCTTGGGGAGCAAGTGTTAGGAAACTGAATATCTGACTCTTCAGGATAGTCCCGAACATTATCATTCAGACAAGGCCTAAAACACAGGTCAGGTTGCCACTGTTCATGTCTCATTTAAACAAAACCAATCAGTAACACTGACACCACACGGTGTCACTTAGACTCAAGTTTAAACAGTGCCCAGTCAGGCATGCGTGTGCTTATGAATGTCCTCCAGTAATAAAGTCATGACAGCAGCACCAAGGTCAAAAAAGGAACGACCGTTCGAATGTGTCGTGAGATCGGAAGAGTTGCAGCTTTTATGATAGATTTGTTTAATGTCTTTGTCAAAAAGTCCAGTGCACACACACACAGCATCTGTCACAGGTTATTCCTGGTACTTCCTGTCAAGCATCCCATCAGCCTTTGCTTTGCCTTGGCCCTGTCTGCATTTTTCTTTAAAGCTCACATGTTCGTTTCACAGGGCGGCGTTCGGCTTCCATCCAGAACAATGTGATTTTCTCGTTTTTCTACTCTCTGTTCTGCTTCCTCTAATCCTCCATCGGCCACTCCTTCCTTACTTACTAGGTCTTGGGTGCTGTTGAGTGAGCATGCTTTTGACAATGGACTAGCACCACCACCCGAGGCAGCAGTAGATCTCTCCATGTGATTCCTGCCCAGGTGGCTTAAGCCAGTGAGCTGCCCTTCACCTTCTAAGCTCCTGCCTGCTGAGCTTTCACATCCCCCCTTGGGGGTGCTGGGACTGATATATTGCTGAGCCAGGGATGGAGATTGCAGGATAGCCAGCGGAGACTTAGTTTCCTGTGTTGTATAACTGGGAGACGGAGAAAACCTGGAAACCAATTCGTCAGTAAGTAGTTGAGCACACTTTGCAGAGCCAGTGGGGATGGGTGTCGCCACAGGTGTCATCACTGCCACGAGGACATCATCTTTCGATGCAATGAAGTCAAGCTTCAGGGCTCTTGTGTTTTGAGGGCTGCCGTGATCTTCCAAAGCTGTGCCGGTGCTATCATAGGTCATCCCAGAGCTTTCTGCACTCTGTGAGAACAAATTCAGATCCCCAGTCAACCTTCCTTTGGGGTTAGATGTGAACTCATACAAACCCTCTTTGATGAATGTCATTGGCTGAATGCTGTCAGGGCCCTGCTTTACCTCCATATTGCTGATCTGACTTAGGTCCAAGGGAGGTGGAATACACTGATGTCGAGTACCAGCTTGACCTCCTTCAACACTGGGGAGCAGTGAGCTTCGCTCCCCTCTTTCCAGTGCAAAATTATCTGCTGCAGTTGAAGATTCCCTGGAACGACTGACTTTAGGTGATGCTTGCTGGGCCAGAGTGGATGAGAACTCTTTCATCTCAATCTGTTCTTCTCGAATTTTTTCCTGCTGCTCTTGAATGGCTGCTGTCTTGTTGTAAGTATCTTCTAGCCGCTTTGCACTGAGGTGTTGAGGAGTAGTTTTATTCGACGTGGGCTTGAATCGCTCTGGGGAGCCCTGCTGGGCCACTTCTTGGTATTGTTGAGACCTGCCAGGGCTACCTGCCTCTGCATTGTGGTAGTGCTTGTGGTAGCTCCAGCGACTGGGTGACAGGTGATTTTCAACGGGACATTTACTGTCCTCTCTTTTTTCTACCAACACATCTGTTAATTCCATACTGCGGGCAAAAGCATCCTTTAGGTTAATAGAAACAATGCTTCCACTCCGTTTTGCTCGTTCTAGAGCTTCCCTCCTCTTGATGGCCTTCTCTTGCCTCTTCTGCTCTCGGTAGAACTCTGAGAAGTTGTTCACAATGATTGGAATAGGAAGAGCAATGACAAGCACGCCTGCTATGCAGCAAAGCCCTCCTACAATCTTACCAAGCAGGGTTTGTGGGTAAATGTCACCATACCCGACAGTCGTCATAGTAATGGTTGCCCACCAAAACGAAGCAGGGATGCTGGTGAATTTTGTAGCATCTTCATCCTTTTCAGCAAAGAATACCAAGCTAGAGAAAATCATGATGCCCATGGCTAAAAACAGGATCAGCAGTCCCAACTCGTTGTAGCTCCTTCGTAAAGTGAAGCCCAAAGACTGGAGCCCCGTCGAGTGCCTGGCCAGTTTCAGAATCCTCAAGATCCTCATAATACGGAAGATTTGAACCACACGCCGCACATTCTGGAACTGCAGCACGCTCTTGTTAGATTCAGTTAGACAGAGGGTCACATAGTAAGGCAGTATTGCCAGCAAATCAATAATGTTCAGTGGTGCTTTCATGAAGACCCACTTATTGGGTGCTGAGAGCAGCCGTAACATGTATTCCATGGTGAACCAGGCAATACAGACGGCTTCGACGTGGGCTAAACTGGGGTTGTCACTGAACTGGCCAAATTCATCTACAACCTGCAGCTCTGGCAGAGTGTTGAGGGACAGTGAAATTGTGGAAATGACGATGAACAGGATGGAGATCATGGCCAGGATCTGCAAGACAAAAGCAGGTTATTACATTAGCTGGGCATAGTGTTAGCTTCATACATGTCTTCCATTACATCTGTTTCTGTGCCTGTAAACAGTAACACGTTCTTTAATAAGACAAACCCTGTTTGTTGCTACTAATCACTGAAGTGTACATTCTAGAGTAGAAGTTTCTTAGACTACATGAGACATTTTTGTTACCCTTCATGGTGGTACCAACTTTGTCCTGAAGGTGGTGCTATTTGAAAAGCTACTAAAGGTCAGGCCTTTTTGATTAAGGCCCTTAAGAAGATTTAGCTTTGGAAGTTGTGCATCCACAGTGACAGTCAGCCCTTAACTTTCATCGGTTCATTATGTCCAAGCAGAAATGAAAAGCTCTTACGATCCACACATCACCACATATGGGCATTTTCTGCTTTTGTCTTTGTAAGCCAGGTTACAGCAAACAGACGCTGACTTTAATGTTTTAAGCAGCTTTGTGAAAAATTCTGGCACGGACACTTTCACGTGGAACTTGTCATGTAGGAGGAGACCTGCAGCGGTGATAAGACAACAGCTTTTATTCAACCTGCAAAAAAACATTTTACAGTGTTTCCTGTGTCTCCTCAGAAAATCACGGCGATGTGCTCACATGATGTCAGATTTGTATTTTAATGAGAACACAAAAACACACAAGACTACAAACCTTCTGACATTAACTGCAACTGGAAATGATTCCAAAATCTGACAAAGCACTACAATACAAGATTCAAAACAAAGTGAGTAACACCTAAAAACACTCGTGTCTTTCTTTTTTGGGGAGGAAAATGGAAACAAAAGTTAGTTTTTGCTCCTGCGTGTTTAGCTTCACACTTGGTTTCCTAGGGTTTGAAACAATTTTGTCCTTTTTGTCGCCTTTTCAATTCAATAAAGATAAAACCTTCTTCTCAGAGAATGACTGAATGGAAAAAGGGGCCCAGGGGATTCAACTATTACTTATAGCCAATTTAAAAACTCTAACTGGGAAAGCAGAGTAACGAAGCTGAAGGATGTGTGTTCTGAGTCCTCTCAGTGTAGCCCTTGGTAGGACATTTCAGGTTTATTGTAATAGGATTGCGCTGCTATACATAGAAAGGATAGAGAGGAAGGTTAGAATTGGTTACTCATTCTTTCCTCCCCCAACAGGAAGAATCAAGCAACAGGCGGAAATAGACGATGCAAGATTATTTTTTTGTCTTTAAATACATCTGACGTGATATCTGACAAAAGACCACTGCACTGTTCTCTGGGGACAACTCAATTTCCTGTTACATTTCAGTGGCTTCAACACATAATACGTATTGTGTGTCAGTGGAGTAGATAAAGGTACAAATGTCACACGAAAAAACTGATTACTTTTAAAGTATTTGCATGTTATTATTGCAAATCATTGTTCATTCTTCAGGTGAAAAATTATAATGATCATTATGATGCAACTGATTACAAACTGAATGTTTTTTCATTTCATAATTGCTCAAAAAGACTAAAAGTGAAATCAGCTTTGAATCCTTATCCAAATGAAACACAACAAAACAAAGATTTCATTCCACAGCAGAGCCATGGCTGCTGCAGCTAGCATGTTTGAGTACAGGCAAGACACTAAACCCAAGAGTGCTCCAATTCATACTCCACTGGAGTGCGAATGTGTGTGACTGTCAGAAAGCACTGAGGTGTAGAAAAAAGTGCTTGTATGAACGAGTGAATGAACCATGTTGTATGAAGCACTTTGAGTGATCCAGTAGAAAAGCGCTATATGAGAACCAGTCCATTTACTGACAGGGTTAGTGTGTTTGAAGAGTTGGGAAGTGATTCTGAAGCCACCAAACCCAACACCTCCGACTGTACCTGGAAACTGTGTCTTCCGAAAAACCAGATCAGAATCAGCCCTCACTGTGGCTTTACTGGGACCCAACAGCCTGTAATAACAAGCCCAAGAAGCCATCCTCCTGAAGCACTGCTCCATGAAATCAGACAGAGCGACTGGACAAACTCCCACACCCCCCCTGCATTTATCTGACCTTTATTTAACCAGGGAGTTCTACTGGGACCAAATCTCTTTCACAGGGAGACCAGTGTTGCCAGTATAGCAGCCATACAAACTCAGAACACAATAGAAATGCAGCATAAAACACGGTAACTGTTAGAACAGTGACAGAAAAGTGGAGTTGACCACTGTAAATGACCATGGCAGACCCGGGGGCGAGTTAATGCTTTGCAGCATACTTCATTGACTCACACGGTTGCTGTTCACAGTGCTCACAGAGCTGCAGCTCTCCCGCTGCCTGCTCAACGTTATCGCAACAACCTCAAACACAGCACCCGTTACAATATTCGGCGGGGCGTGATTGCAGATGCCGTGCAGGTGCGTCCGTCTTCCCTGCACGGCACCGCAGGCCACGCCCCGCCACATACCCCCATCGCCCGACTGAGGCTGGGGAGCCATCCGGCCGAACCTACTCCCCCCACCGCGAGCAGGAGAGGGGATCAGCCCGGACCGTCGGCGCCCCCGGGCCCTGGCCAAGTGACAAGGAG